GGGGGGTTGGGTGGCAGGGGGAGGGGTGTTGGGTGGCAGGCGTGATTGTGTGGGTCCTCACAGTGAAGTGGGAAAACCAGTGGAGAGTTCTAGAGGGTTACTCTGAATGATCTATTGAGAACAGAATGAGGGAAGGCAAGAACAAAGTAAGAACCAGTTAGGAGACTTCCTGTAAACCACGTGAGAAATGAGATGGGTTAGACCAGACTGGTAGCCATGAAGGTGTGGAACTGGTTGGACTGTGGGTATATTTTGAAAGTGGAGCAAGGGTGATTTTGTTAGATTGCATGCTGGATGTGAGAAGAAAAGAAGGCAAGGATGACTCCAAGGTTCTTGGATTAAATAAGTGGAAGGATGGAGTTCTCACTTATTGGGATGGAGAAAGAACACAGGAGCATGTTTTAGGGTAAAGATGAGTTGTGATTTGATTTGTGGTTCCCACTGGCTTTCCATGGTTGGGGTTCTCATATGGCCATGGTTCCAAATTAGATTAATGGCCTGGACTAGACCATGACTGAAATGCCTTCTTGGGATGAAGGCTCCAAGGAATGTGTGCCTATGGGCATTGTCTTCCTCCTGAGCATCTTGTTTTAAATCATACTTGAACTGCAATATTGCATTAAATGTCCTTATATATACTTTTGCTGTGTGAAATATTTAATCAAAGGGATAGGTTAATGTACACACACACAACGAACAACCTTGAAAACAACTCAAAAAGTCAATTTCTTGTCCACTACATAACCAGCAGAATAGGACTTACTGTCCTCCACAACTCAAAACTGAACTCATTTTTACATTGGTGGGTCTATGAAGTTACCAAGACACCAGTTCCTAGACAATGCTAAGCTAGGCTGGTACAGAAACTACAGCAGGGCAATCTGAAATGTGCCTGATTGAAGAATTTAACCAGAAATTCACTGGACAAATAAATAATCCAAAAAGAAGGGATGCATTTAAAACAGCAATTTTCAACGGATGTGGTACAAGAATTTCTAAAACATGCAATACCTGAGTATTAGTCAGGGGCATTGACCTCTTTTCCCTTAGATCATCAAACAAAAAAAATGACAACAGCCAACGCAATAACAGTCGTCCAGTGTGAATGAATCCAAATTATACTTTTTTGTGTGTCAAATCAGGCACACAAGACTTTTAGTAATTAGTTGTGTGTGCCATGAGATGAAAAAGGTTGAAAATCGCTATTTAAAACCACTGTCGCTAAAGCACCTGATTAAACAATACTTAAAATGGAATGGATATTTCATCAAACACAAAGGTGAAGGAAAGCAAAACCAGTATTTTAAGTCACATTAGTGAGAGCAAAGGGGGGAAAAAAAGAACAGAAACTGTTATATAGGGATCATCTGAAAAGGCTAGGAAGAGATTGGTGGCGGAGGGGTGGCGGGGGGGAGTTGTTTAAAAAACTGTGTCCACGAATGGAAGGCGACAGCTAGGGAGCAGCTTTTTGCTTTTTTCCCCCCTCTCCAAATCGCAAGGCCAGCAGGTAGATCAGAAAGAAAGCCACCGATGGCTAGAAGAGAAGCTCAGAGAACCCGAACTTGTTTCAAAGCAGGAGAAGCGGTGGCCAGACCAGGCGCCTTGGAGGCGTGACTCCGACCCGACGCCGGGGCCGCCGGCTTCCGGAGACTCGGGGGACAAGCGTCTAACACATTTTAGGAAAGTACCAAGCTCGCGGAGGGAGACAGGAAACCTCCTGCCCCGGCGTCTGACCTCTCGCCGTGCGCCCTAGGAGGTGTTTCTCATCTCCCGGCTTCCCCTTCTTACTTCAGACCCCCCCACCCCCGGNCCACCAAGTGTCAGGCCGCAGGCGAGCGCGAGACGTCGAGCGCCCGCCGGTGTCCCTCCGCCCCGCGCTCCCTGCCACGCGCCCACCGGCTCCGCCTCCGCGTCTAGTTGCTCCCTTCCCACCCCTCCTCCACCTTCCACCCCCGCGCGGGCCGCCTGCCCGCGGGCCGGGCACGCGCCGCACGAACGGTGCCTGGAGCTGCGCTAGACAAACACCTGTCTCGCTTGGGCTCCGCGAGATTTGGGGAGAAAGCATAGGCAACGGCGGGCGCGTTCTCGCGAGGTTTACGAAATTTCCCACGGCCCGTGTTGTGTCTGAGTCGAGTAGTGGAAGGCGGTGGGAAGGAGTAGCGTGAGACTGGGCTGCCCGCATTGGGCACATGCGCAGTGCCGGTCGCGCGTGCCGCGCCAATCCTGCAGCGCGTTCAGCAGGTTTCGGGCAGCGAATTCCAGTTCTCCGGGTTTTGGGGCTCCCTGCTGGAGGCAGTGCTGGTTCTGGGAATCTCTAGGAATTGAAAGGGCTCGGGGAAGGGGGCGGGTAAGAAAGGGGTGCTGCAGGTACGGGGACGGAGTTCGGGCCCAGCTCCTTTTTGTTAAAAGCCCAGTCGGGCCAGGTTTGCTCGGAAGGCTTCCAGGCTTAGGTCGCTTGCAGGACAGTGTCGTCGACTGTGCCTGGCCCACGGGAGGGTCTGTCCCTACATACACCTGGGTTCACACACGGCTTAGGGCTGTGGGAGACCCTAGGAAGGCTCAGACAGCCGGAGCTCTCTGCCCAAGTGGGACCTTTGGTTGGAGTGCGGGGCGGGGGAATGGTGGATCTCAATTCCCAAGCATTGTTCACCGCCGGAGAAAACTGCGCGGCTCTCTGGTGTGTGTATGCAAGGTGGACATTAGGGCTGTCTTTGCCAGAGGTCTTGGCCTGACCTCATTTCATACCCAAGAAGAAAGCTAAGGCGACAGAGCTCAGCTGCAAAAGCTTTCCATTTGCAGCGTTCTGGAGGGTCGGACCACATTGTTCTCTCCGTCTCTCCGCTAGCATGGGGGGTTGCAAGAGCGAAGACAGTTCCTGGTTTGTCACTCGTCCAACTCCAGGCATCCGCAGCTCCAGCACCTACCGCTGATATTAGCATAAAGGAGGCGTCCAATGAACGCTTGAATGAATGAAAAGGGCTGGGAACCGGGGTGAGCGGGAAGCCACTTGGAAAACACCCATTAGAGGAGGTGTTTCATCCAGGCCTGTGAAACGCGGCAGATTTTCCCAGGACCTTCCCCTCGGCCCCGCCTCCTGACCCCTCCATTCCCCGTCCCCGTTGTAATCCCCTCCGGTTTTCCTCAGTCTCCACGTACGTCCCTCTGGGCGCGTCTCAAAACCCGGATAACCGGAGCTCTCCCCATGGACCACACGGAGGGCTCGCCCGCGGAGGAGCCGCCTGCGCATGCTCCATCGCTTGGGTAGGTTTCCAGGGAAGGCAGCGAACAGGATCCCCTATTTCGAGGGCGGCGCGAGGCGTCTGGCTCTTCGCGTCGGCTGCGAGGGGAAAAGGAGCGCGGGGGCTGGGTGGAATCGAGGAGTGAGGAAAAAGGGAAGGGGCGGGGGAGAGGGACCAGGGAAGGCGTCGGGGGAATCTCGCGAGGGTTGGAGTTTTGGCGAGAGTTTGTGGAAGATGGCGCCTGTTGTGACAGGGTAAGTCTAGGGGAATCGGAGCGCTGGGAACCGGGAAAGTTGCGGGCGTCTCGCAGCCCGCGTCTCTCCGCGGGTTCCGAGACCGCGGCGCTCTTGGCGTCTGGGGGCCGCGGGGGTGGTGACGCGTGCGCGGAGCGCGGTGGTGTGTGGCCGTGC